AAAAACATTAAAATTACTAATATTATTATAATGCTTATACGTTTTATGTATACTAATATACTTATATACTATTATAGTATTATATATATTACATTACATGATGCTCTGTTATAACTTACTTATAGTGTTCTAAGTGCGTTCGTCGATAACGATATCATCATAACGAATGTAGGCAGCATTAAAAAAAAAATAAATTTAATAATAAATTTAATAGAACAAAAAGAGATTGAATTTTAACAAGTAAATAAAATAATGTGAATAAGCATGCAGAGGAGTATGAGATGACGAAGACAATATTAAGGACATAATATTACATTTTTTTTTATTGGAAAACAATTATTAAAGGTTGGTCATCTTAGTAATTATACCGTTATTTAGCGGTTGAAGAGGTCAAAAGTGTCACATTACTGTATAATTTTGGTATACATTTTTAACAATATTATGACACTAAAATATTAACACTTCCCAAGAAAAATGCATTTTAACGAAAAAGTTAGGATTAATTTGTCCACTACAACTGGTACTATATTGTTTATTTACAATACGCAAGTAATATTATTTACTATTGTTATTATTGGTAGCGGCCAGCGGGAGCCACAGGAAAATATTTGGTTGATAATATGATTGCATTGTTGAATGACTGTATAATATTATATTATAGTAAATTATTGCAGATTGTTTCAAACTCGATTGAAACTTGAAAGTAAAATGTATATAAAACTAGCATCTATAATAAGACATAATACGACAAGAATCGTTTTAATTGAAAAATAACAATTATTGAAAGATTGACTTTCAAATCAAAATCAATTATTTTTTGTTGTATGTTTTTCCAAAATTATTTTGCGATCGTGATAAACGCACTCTCTTGTAAATAACATTATTAATACATAATAATATTTACCTGGTGCAGCGGTGGATACAAAAATTAATGAAAAATGGGGGGGGGTTATTCAAATTTATCCAATACCAAAAATAAATTAAACACATTTACTACGATTCTACATAATAACTTCAAGCCATTGAAGGAGGGGCATTTACTGATTTACTCAATTACCTTTACCTCCACAGTTGGATCTGCCACGGGCCACGGCCCTAATAAAAAAACTCAGTAGTGGTTAGGTTATAGAAAATATAATATAGAATACCTATCGTTATTATGTATTTATGTGTCATTACTCATTACTCATTTGAGATACTCCGCAGTTGCAGCATTGATGCTCGGAAACCCATATCGGCGTAAACCATAAGCTCTACACGAGCATCCCATGAAAAATATGAAAACGGGCCCCTGAAAACAATATGATATTATAATATTATAATATCATATTGTAGTATATATAGTATAATAATACTATTTGGGTATTATTATTAAATATTGTATCGTTCTGAGAGACGTGAGTGGCTATACGACATGTGACGGAGTTCGTCACCGTCAGATACGCGTCATCGTACAACACTGCCACACAAATACACAATGCACATACCGGCAAATCAGCTATTGTTTGGTAAACATCTATATAGCTGGTATAGACCGTAATAATATGGTCTGGTAGCAGCAACACGATTGTGGCAACGGGGGGATTGGGGGGGGGAGATAGAAAAACCGAACAAATCAGTGTCGTCAACGTTTTGGATTTATTTTATTGACGAGTCGAACGAATATTATTATTCGCAAGCGGCAAGCGTAATGAAGAAATGAAATCGCAATTATTTTTAGAAAAAACCTACACCATAATATTATTAAGACATTAATTCATTATTATATTAATATTATTCTATACAATTCGCAAATGATATTGTACAATTCAATGCTGGAACCAATATATATATATATTATTTTTGTTTTATTTAACACTTGAGAAAACAATATGATGTATACGAACAATAATTATTAGGAATTATATTATAATAGTAATATGATTATTTTTAAACCAAATAATATTATTGGGCAAGCAATCTAAAATCAAAGTTATTGAGTTATTTGTAAGACGGTAGCACACAGACACAGTTGTTGTTATAGCTTTGGCATTTACATTAATTAATTTCAGTACTAACTACCAGAGACCCGAGTGGTTCAAAAATAATCCTAAAATTATAGTTGTTTAGCTGTCTGTAGGCTCACCCAATTTGCGCCTCGTGTGTATTATTTTTTGATCGCCTGAATTCCTACCTATTTCAGAACAAGTAAATTATGTATTTATATGTAACCATGTAGGTAAATGGTATAGCCACTTGATTGTACTGACCGCAGCACAGTAAACACTATACATCTCCTTTTTCGGATTGCATTTGATTATACATGTATATAGTTGCATCAACCCTTTGGTCTTTCAGCATTGCACCAGAATCTGTTTTATAACTTTATAGTAGGTACCGCGTACCTATATTTAAATACTAATAGTCTCACAAATTCAGTTGGTATATAATAAAATATATATTTTATAGGATTCATAGGCATCTGAGTTCTGACCATTATTATTTATTATAGGTAATAATATAGTTACTGTAAGACATAAAAAATATTATATTTAATTTTTTTTATATAAATTAAATACATGAATAAATAAATATTTACAAATCCTGACTTCTTCATAATTATTTTGTTTCGGTGTTTATTGAAAACTTGTACCTACACAATTATTTAAATGTGTAGTTCGACCTTCGGGCTTAAGAAATATATGGTCTTATATTATTATAATATTATAAAGAAAACTGATTACGAAATTTTAACTCACGTCACACGATGTGTAGGTTATGCGCAATGGCGGATTCAGATGTGGGGGGTTAAAGGGGGCATCCCCCCCAATACTTATTGTACTTTTGCCCCCACCCAAAAATTAAATCCCTGAATCTGCCACTGGTTATGCGTGGAGCGTGTTACCTATATATTTTTGAAAATAAAAGTCCGTAATAAACGGGAAATACAGTTTTCTTACATTTTAGGTTTTTAAACATAAGTTTAGACATACCATGCGTTATCTACCATGTCGTATAATATGGTATATCCGACTAAATTTTGAATTCCCCCCCAACGGTGTACAGAATTCAGAGACCAACCAAATTAGTAGCAACTAAATACAGCATTATTTATCAATTATTAGCGATACACGTGTATGCGCGTTATAGTTGTTTCAGTTAAGACTTGAGATATAAAATATTAAAATCCAACAATCATAAATTGATCAGTTCATTAGGTCTCCAATACAATCATGGGAGTGCGCAAGATTTTGTGTTTGGTGCAGCACACATTTTTATCGGACCGACAGAACTACGTTCATATAGTTTCAACTATTTGGTATTTCCTTTATTATGGCTAAGACCCATAAAAGGCTCTCAAGATAAAAATGTAATATATTCCAATCAATTATAATAAAGAGTACAATTTCGTTTAATATTAACATAATATAGGTAATAGGCTATAGGTATATCGTATGTATACCAGTCGCCAGTCACATTTTCATTAGATCAACCATCAACGTTGAAAGTTCATATTTTTATTTTATACAACATTTTTTTACCAGAAGCCTTTAAATAAAAATACATTATATTCACCAGCTGACTGAATCCAAAATAAAATATATTGTCAGGTGCAGCGAAAGCACCATTCGCTGCATCCGTGCGCACGCCTGTAACTACAAAACCAACGGGCGTCCTATAGACATCGCAATATTATATTATTATAAATAAGTACACCGCGCTACGGTATACCTATTTAGTTGGTATAGAGTATGCCTATAATCTACCTATACCTATAGCTATTCATGAATAATACCCATAACAAAACCCATAACAATATCATCCTCCTAATAATATTGTTGTTATTATTATAATCATACCCATCGTGTACTCGTTGCAGGCGAGTGTGATGTAAGTGCGTAACGCCGTAACGGTACTCGCGGTTACGCGTCAACGACGAGCGGTAGCGGTAGGTGTGTTGTAGTCGGCGGCGCAAGTACACACGGTAGGCGGCCTGCCGCCGACGCCAAAGGGGGGTAACGGCCCGACGGGTGGGTGGGCTGGCGGCGGGCGGCGGCGTACTCGCGCGTGGTTGCCAATATACGCGCGCGCGCAACGCGTTTCGGACGCGATTCAGATCGTAAATATCGCCCGCGGCCGTTGGAAGTGCATACAATAGCGATATTCTCTACGCCCGCCCGCTCGCCGCCGCCGACTCGCGGTTTCCGTTTTTTTCCCCCTTTTCACGACGACCCTGTGAATTTGTGATATTACTATTATTGTTTACTCAGTGTCCGCTTGACGGTCGAAGCTGACCAAAATCGGTTTTACTTTTCCGCTTTCCGATCGACAGTTTTTCGATATTTTGTTCTCGAGTCCGTCGATTAATAATAATTACCTATATTTATTATAAATCTATTATAAACCGTTGCGATAACGTCGACCGTACTGCAAAACGGCCAGTGACGAAAATAACGACAACAATTATTATACGGTATTAATAATAGTATTATGAACGCGGACGGCTCAACCGCAGCAGCTGCAGCCAGGACCGACGGCGACGACGACGACAAACGCGCCGCACTGAAAGACGTTAATATCACTCATTATCGTCGTTAAAAGCGGTCGCAGCGAGTATAATAGCCGGTGGTTCCCTCGTCACAGGTTCAGTTTTTCCCACACCCCCCGACCCTAAGACATTTTGTGATAACGATTGTTATTGTTATTTATTTTTACGGGCGCTCGTGTCCGGACGTGTAGTTCAGTAGGTAGTAGTGTAGGACTATAATAGATAGACGTTACTGCTGTATAAGCAGGAAGGTAGGCAGACAGATTGGCCCGTATCGGATTTCCGTTCGCTGATCGATCGATAGTCTGTTGTAGGTATAATATTACATATTATTATTATCATCGTAGCAATAAATCGTAGCCGTCCGCTCGGGCGGGATCGATAAGTCGGTGTGTGCGTGCGCGAGTCGTCCGCCGCCATCGCCGTCGATGAACGAACTTTTCGGCGGTTTTTTCGCGTAAAAGCCCAAGGGATGGATACGTGCGTGGACCCCAACGTACCGCCGTGGAAGTTGGAGCTGATCAACAGGAGACGGACGAGAAACAGTCAATCAAAGTGCGGTGGCGGTGGCGGCGGCGGCAATAACGAGCAACAACTACAGGTAAAACCAGTTCAATGGACCTGGTCCCCCCCCACCACTCAACACTTTCTCCAGCAGCCGAACGTCGCCGCCGCCGCCCAGATACCGATGCCGCAGCCGCCGCATCAGCAGCAGTCCACAGTCGTAGTCGGCACCGCCGTGTGTCCCACCAGCATGAGGCTGTTCAAGTGCGAGGCCACCGCTATCATGACCAATTTCAAGAAAAATCCGCAGATCAACCGCTGTCGATCAAAATTCAAAACCAAACCGCAGATCATCACCGAGATCACCAATGGCCTGGACTACCATTCGGATTCCAGCGAAGAGTTCAAGTACGGGCCGGGCATCGTGAACAAACTCAAGTCCAAGTACATGAGCATGACGGTGCGCGAACAAAAACCCAGACCGTCGTTGCGCCGGTCCACCAGCATGGACAACATCGTTGACGACAAGCGGCTCATCGACAAACCCAAACTCTACTCGCAGCCGGACGTTGTCAGTATGGCAGCCACCGTCAAGAGTGAGACCATGAAACGGGCCCGTTCCATGGAGACTCTGTCCGATCCGCATTCGGGCAACACCAACGGCTACATGGATGAACAACAGCCGAAAACAACAAATGGTGATTTGCCGCCACCCGATGTCGTCAAAACGTATAAAAAAATATTTGAAACCAAAACACAGACCGAACTGAAGCCCATCAAGATAAAGCCTGCAATACTGCCTAAGCCGATGATGAGCCCAGAAAAATCACGTCCGGCTAGAATGAACAAAGCGCCATTGAAGAAAATGTCCCCACCGATTAAATATCCAAACAGGTAATTATATGCATATTTAATAAGGGGTAGGTAGATAACTACCAACTTATCCACGTTTGAAATTTGCCGAAGTAGGTAGGTAATTCATAACTATTTTAAATTCCTATTTCATTATGATAATTACTAGACAATTAGTAAGAAATTATAATGAACAGCTATTCTAGTTAGTAATATGAATAAAACATTTATTCATTCATAACGTCAATAGTTCCTATTAATTTAGTTCTATGAGCTTGGTGATCACTTGTTCAAACTTACTTAATGTTAAATAAATAGCAAATAAGACCAAAATTATATCATAATATTATTACTTCCGTTAACAGTTATTATGAGCTCATTAAATTCTCCTAATTACTTCAAATACAGTTTAAACTAGGTGCCTGGCGCTGCTGGTGGCTATATACCCATAGCACCTAGAGTATGAATGAGATTTATTTTTTTATAATTCTCTATTTTATGATTTAATTACTTACATACCAATCTATTTTACTTTAATGTTACATTGTAGTACCTATTTGATAATTTTTACTATCTATAATTTCAAATTTGTTACCTATGTATTTGTTTAGTAATCTACAGATATAACTTATGAAACGACATTATATTTTGATAATAGATACTAGCTAGTTCATTAATCTCATTTTTTCCCATTTACTATTAATTAGTTAGGTGTTTTTATATGTACAATTGCCTTATGATTTGTTGTGTATTTATTTGTCAAATAATGATTGTACAATACTACAATAAATATAGGTAGTTTACCTATAATTATATTTATAGTTAAATAGTTAATTTTTTTATTATTAGCTACTTTAAAATGATTTAGTATGTGGATATTTTAAATATGTTATGACAGTTATAACTTATTACATTATATATGTAGTTTCAAACCAAATGCTCTTAAAAAATATTTACCTATGTATTTTTTAATAAATAAGATAACAACAATATTAATAAAAGGTTGATTTCTATTTAATATTAAGTGTTATTATACTTGTTATAATACTTGTTATTATACCTTTATTATATTTACCTTTGATGTCCTTATTACCTCGCTTAACCTACCTATTTAAATTTGTCAATGATTAGGTATAACTGTATAAGTTATGTATTCATTATGATATTATTAGATAGTTTAATATATTATCTAGGGACCTGAATGTTGTTAAAATATTACTTTTAAAATTAATATATACTGTTATTAAAAATTATTAAGATATTATCTAATTAGGTAATCTGTTTATAGATTAAAAAAGAAGGAGTCGTTGGGTTTTGATCGTTCCAAACCATTGATCAATGATGAGGTTAGTTCTAGCCAAGATGAATCATCTATGTCGTCTGACGATGGTGGATCACAACGACACAGGGTTACTATTAAAGCTGCCATTACTGCAACAGCTATTGATAATAAACCAATATCAATACAAACCAAGCAGATATGCGTTATCAGACCAACAACCAGAACTACTTTACAGCCTGAAGAAACTACAAATGCTCAATTGTCTGATAAAGAAATAGAAAAAAAATTTATAAATAATAGTAATAATAGTACCAATAATATCAATAATACCAATAGTACCAATAATACCAACGGTGAAAAAAGAATAAGTGGCCTATGGGATAAAAAACGTTGGGATAATCATGAAAACAGTGTAGTTTTTAATTTTGTCAACAGAAAAGGAGTCCCAAACTATATTGACAGTGAAGGTCCAGTGCAGAGAAGAGACAATTCTTATGTAATATATAATTTTCATTGACTTATCATTATTTTTATGTTATTAAATTATATAATTGCAGGGAGTTAAAGATGGTTGTATCATGTTGGACGCTCATTGTGAAGAATCAAGTACTGATGATATTGACAATGTAAATAATGATAATTATGTTACTTTTGTTGGTGACAATATTATAATTGGTCGTTCAAACCTTCGAAAAGAAAATTCACCGACGAAAAAAGTAAGTTTTATTGCCTACAAAATGTTGTTTTACATAATATTATGTGTACTATTATTATTAAGTAACCATATGAATTTCATATTTTTTATAATATAATTACATTTGAATGTTATCTCATAATTCACTCATTATTCTTATCCTTACTTTTTATTAAGTACCTATTTGAACTTTTCTATTTTTTATCAATTTAATAATAACTTTTATTATGTTTATGGTTTTGGATACAAAACGATGAACTAAATTAAAAACTATATTAAGTTTTTAGCACTGCTTGTAAAATTAAAAACTGATTAAAATATACTTGATCTATCATTCAAATGTTATACTCTATGATGGGGGAAATTTGAAATATAATGGCTCAGATAAGCTCAATTACTATTTTAGTTTATAATTTACTACTTAAACTATTTTGTTTTGCATATTATATTCAAGGGAATATATTATATTTAAAAAAAGTAATATTAAAGTATATTTGTAAGTAATATTAAATTGTATTAAGTATAAAATCATAATTATAAAATTTCTGGGATTATGTACTACAATCTGGTTAAAGCTTTTTTTAAATGTATCAGATTTCTATTTTTAAAATAACAAAAAATTATACAAATAAATATTTTTTAAAGCATTTTATTTGTTATAGTTGCATAGACAATTATAAAAAAATAAATTTAGTTTAAAATCTAAAATAAAGTAACATTGAACATAATATATACCTAATAAGGAATAATTTGTAAACATTATAAAGTTTTGACTGAAATTTCAAACAGTAGGTATGTTAGTTTTAATTACAACTTATCTTTATCTGATTTTGCTGTTTGAAAATAATTGAATAAGTAAGAATAAAGGGTAGATTAAACAAGTTTTTATTATTATTATAGCTTGAAGACATTCATCATAGGTCAATGAGCTGGTTCTTTGTAGAAATAGCCTCGGGCATTATTATTTATTTTATATATACAATATGTACGCATTCTTTTGCACAATGACACTTGAATGCTGAAGTATTAGCCACTGGGCAACACGATGCCCATACAATATTTCCTGTTTCAAAGAGTTTTTTTGTAGTCATTACTTCAGTATTATCTTTGTTAAATATAAATGTTTTGAATGTTATAATTTTGTTAAGATTTTACTTAATGTCCAGATAAGTCTCTATAATATGGAAATTATAATGGTATATTTTCTTTGTAAACAAGTATAATACTTTAAATAAATAATATCTAATTTACAAAAAAGAATAGAATGTTTTAAAAGGAAAAATTTGACTCCATCAAAAAACTTTTGTTAAAATAGTTGATGAAAATATTGATGGAAAAGCTTATCCTAAAAAATATTCCGTGCATCCTGATGTCAGAATATCTACAGGAATGATATATTTTTTTTCTCGCAAAATAACAAACGAGCTAATAATATTTTATAGTGTTTACTAAAATTGTAATTAATACTAAATTATGTGTTCTGCCTTCAGATTAATCTTTATGGGCTTAGGAAAATTGCCTGGATAAGATATTAGAATATGATTTATTGATGTGAATATTGTTATTAAGTGTAAAAAATGTACCATTAAACATGACATTTTGTTTATTCAGATTATTGTTCTTCTTTTAACTTTATTAAAATTAGATTGCTATTCACTGCGTTTGCCGAAGTACTAACCGTGACATTTTAATGGGAAATTGAATAAGTAATTATGTTTTCTTTGTACTTTCGAGTGAGATTCTACAGTGTATTATACTAATAGTACTATAGTCTATTGCATATACTGCATGGATATTTTAGGTTGCCATACCGGTTTTAGGTCAATCATTAGCGAAAAAATGTAGTCCGATAAAAAAATAACCAATCTACAAACAGTTTAAAATTCGCGATAGAAAATTAAAATTTTTAGTGGTAGCAAATACTTCGTTGTATGAGAATATAGTATCCGAAGGTCATAAACTGTGGGTCATTGTGCTGTAATAACAACTTATAACGGCACTGTGTTCTATTAAGCATTGACTGCTGGAGACTAAGTAAACCTAGTTTAAGGTCATACGCAATTGAATCTGCAAATAATTACTCTTTTAATTTTTAATGCGATATCGAGTACGTGACAGACTTTATTGTTGTGTTACATTAACAATTACCATTTATTTTCTAGGACCTCCGCATAAAATTCTCCGACGTACTCGAAACGACGCACGAATATCCGTCTGAAGCATCGATGTTAGTCGAAGAGGAGTCTACAAAAAACGACGATTCTACAACCATGTCGCCAAAAAGTAATGTACACAATATTTATCGCCTGGAATACCATTAGATTTTGTTCTCGCAGACTGGAATAAAAACAATGGTTTATATACATGATATTATTGTTATGTTCCGTAAAAACTATAAACCGCGATTAAATGTATCATATTTCGTTTGAATATTATGTACATATTGTTATCATCGGTATGGTCTGCAATCTGCATAAAGTAGGTCACGAATACTTTCACTGATGGTCAAGGTTCAACATTGAAATTATACGTCTTGAAATATCCCGTTTGCATATTATAGTTTTCAACTATTCTCATTATGAACACATAAATATATATATATTTATTTACCACATTACTATGCGTGTATAATTCATCCGTCATGATGACCGCTTATTTATTCCTTTGCACTTGAATCGAACTAAAATAATTATAGGTATTTAGCATATCAATAAGGACACTGCGTATTAATTTCATATACAGACATTCCTTTCAAACAAACTTTTCGAAACCAATTTTTATTTTATAAACCCAGTTTTATTTTTTTCGTACTTGCAATGTATACATACATATTATGTTAACACGCGCATAAACTGGCTTGATTAAAAATATTCTGAGAAGGTTATTAAAGATTTAAAAAAGTCTAAATTAATCAAATCGCAATAACATAAAATACTTCGATTTTTTAATGAGTGTACATTTTCGATTTTATTTATTGTAAATTTGTTACAAAATATTATTACCGTATAAACAGAATCGAATTATATTTTTGTATCTAAATTTAGTTTTGGAGAAATAATTTTTGTTAAACATTAAATCATAATTTTGTTGTTTCAGGTAAATTCGGCAATTACATTCCAAGTAAATTGGGACCAAATGAAGAAGCATTCCTCGGTGAATATGGTGTGAGCAGAAGTAATATGAAACCCGTAAAACGCGCGGTTGATAAAAACGAAGAAGACATGTCAGTGATGGACACATATGTGCCCTGGAGTGAAGAAACTACACCCGATCTCTTGTTTTGAGTTCCTAATCTTTATATTTTGTAATGTATGAGCTCAATGGTGTTTTTTCCAAACAATATAAATTTAACAGGAAAATCGATTTCTTTACATATTTTTTTTTTTTTATATTAAATAACTATATTACCTGTATTAAAGTTTAATTTAAACATGGCCAACACGATAAAATACAAGACTCAATGAGAAATTCCTCGACTGAAAAACTACATTCTTTACATAATATTTATATATTTTTACGATTCCTATAAATACGTGTAATATTTTTTTGCTAAGTAGTTTTCGTTTATTATTTAATATTTCTACTATTAACTTTGATGTTGTTTATTTATTTGTGCTTTTTTTTCTTTTTTTATATAATATAATACAATCATAATAATATGATATTTCGATGTTTAAACGCATTTTGTACCTATTTTACATATTGGCATCGTTTTTGAAGTTTTGGAATTGAAATAAACCGTTTTGACACGTTTATTATATAAAAAAAACAGCAAGTGTTGTCTTACAATCCATAATCCGTCATCCATGTGCATAATATTGTAATTTATAATATTTATTATTAAAACCGAGTGTCAACATAGTTCCTACGTCTCGGAAATTGCATTACCGGTTCGAGCGAAGGAATGAAAATAAAAAAAGAAAGGGAGGGAGACGTCACTATAACATGGCTATAGTACCTCTACGGTTGTCCGCGCCCAGAAGAAATACGATTATAGGATACTACGCGTTCAGAGGATTAAATAGAAACGTCTGACTAGAGAATTAAATTATTATACTCGTGTGCTGCAACAATATTATAGCCGTCTCGTTGACGTCCGCAAGTCGCAAGTAGACTCGTTCTCATCGTTCCAATTCTCGTGCAATATAATAATCATCGGTTTTCCTACATATATATTTTTTTTAAATTTATATATTTTTGAAAATGGCCTGGGTATTAGGTGTATCGATGATAACCGTACATTTTCACTCGGTCGAAATATTAAATTAAATTTATAAGTGTTTCCTATAGTATTATTATACGTATAGTTACAACTCGTAAGCAACGCTGCAAACGCTTACACAGGACAAACACGGTGTGCGCTCTGTAGGCTGGAAATACATAACAACATGATCATGCACATATTATGGGCACACGTGCCGATCGATCGTCTCGGCAACTTTTAAAAGCACTATTCAATGATTACAAATTTGTTGAAACACTCGCTTAATTGAAAAGAACGCAAACCCGACCGTAGGTATACCAACGCATTTCGCATAATTTATAATATAATTATATCATTAGTTGTTGTCGACTACCGCAAAGCGCGGTGAAGCTGCACTCACGGTATGTAGTAATTCAATCGAAAAAGCCGGTATAAATACCTGCAGTTTATTGTAAATTGGTAAAAATGTAATAGTCCCTGCACGCTTTAAAATGCATATTTTGCAATTGAGAGGCGCAGCGTCGAGGTAGTAGGTACCTCAATAATTTAATCAATTTTTCTACTATATCTTGACGTGCGCCTTATTGGTTTTAGTTAGGCGTACATTTTTAAATTTTAACCTGTCTCAAGTTCCCAGCAACAGTCATAACCTAACATCATAATTAATTATGAATACCTATATTATAATATGTATTTATATGTACTTTATAGGTTTTCTTTTCACGATCTGTCGAAAGTTTGGCGCGATTCCAGGTGTCATTGTGTCAATGACTTACCACTTACAGCTTACCTACATCTACCCATACATTATATTATAAATTATAATGATATGTCAATTGTTGGAACGCTAGTGAGTATACTGAATAATGATCAAGCATAATCCCCAGTTCATAAACCATAATAATATTATGTAGGTTTAACTGTGTAAGTACTAAATATTATTGTATTATAATATATTATTACTTTAATATTTATATTGTAGTATTGTCTGCGTTGGTAATGTTCAAAAGATGAAACAGTTACACGGGGGCTTAGGCATCATCATTTATCAGTGGTTTAGGATTGCTTCCCCCCCTCAAAGTTGTCCTATATACCCTAAAACGATTGGATAATCATTTTTAATATTATAAATTTACGTTCGTAGAAAATGGTGTTGAGTGGGGACATATTTTATGATTTAAAAAACATGATTGAATATCTAATATTTTTACCGAAGAAAATTCATTATTTTCTATGAATACTTTATGTGAACGATAAGGTTAACTCACGATCACTGGATATATTATATTCCAAATTTAAATTACAATGCGTATGAAATCCCCCATCCAATAGGTCATACTTCAATGTCCTAGTGCAGGTTGTTACTTGTTATCTGAAAATACTTAAAACTATATTGATGTATTTGAACTTTTTTTGGCTATCCATTTCCAACGTAGAAATTGGTTATATTATGTAAACACATATTCATTAGGTTTTTAAATCAAATATCTTATGAATTTGGAAGGACAAAATAATTTCCCAATTTTCGTGATATTGAATACCTATTAACAAAAAAAATGAATTTTGTAATACTATCTCAGAGTGAATAGTCAATAGACTAACGATAAACATGTTTATCGTATAGGGTATTTTAAGCAGGGCTTAGCACCCGAATCATTTATTTGAAACAAACTTTGGGTGTTAATAACCGTTATTATTTGTGTTAATATTGGTTAAAAAGTAGTATTAAGTACCTACCTAGTTAAGGAAAAAACATAATTTTTTATAGTTATTTTATTAGATGTTTTTTTAAAAAATATAATTGTTTATCCCCCTGTCCTAATATTGTTATTATTAAACTAATAATCAACTACAAAATCATACTAACCGCTGTTTAATTCCTATGCAAGGTGCCCTGATTTTTAAGCCCTCTAATAATATTGTTGTATCTATTTTCCGTCTATATATATGCGCTTCAGTGAATCATATTTTAATTAACAAATTAAATTAGATTAAAATATTTAAAACTGTTTTAGGTATCACGAAAAAAATTGGATCATAAACACGACAAAAGTCTGGTCAATCTGAACTGTGCATTCAATTGTATAGTTCGAAGTCTTTAGGTTTTCATAATATTTTAAACTTACTTAGACAGAGTATAGACTATATTAATAATTATTAGGTACTTCTCATATTATTATGCAGTCGTACAGTCGTTGCCAGATAATAATCTACTTAGAACGGAGACGGCGCCAACACTGTTAACCAGTGGTTCTCCGTATTCGATGTTATAGGTACCTACTTAGTCGGTTCCTATCTACTTACTTACTGGCTACTATTACTATAAATATAAATAATGTCAGAAAATCTACATCTAAACATTAAACATTGTATAACTGTTATTTGGTATTATAAAATACCTATTATAATTAATTGAAATATTAAAAATAATTATTGAAACAGTGAAATAGTGAAACACCTCCTCTGCGCCACAAGTAATGCAAATACCCTACCGTCCCTACCAACCTACTCTATAATACTTAAATGTTGAAGGTACTTTAATATTCTGACGACGGTCGGACATACTTTGTACACCGTACCTGCAGGCTACAGCTATATTCTCTGCCGCGGGCTTTCTACACCTAAACGACTAAAAAGTCGTTTAATTTTTTTTTAATCTGATCATTTTGAACTTCGATTTTTTAATATTATTTGAGAAGAGAATAATATTTTAAATTAGTAAGATTATAATATGACCCATCCGCATTTGCAACTCGTTCGATCATACATTCGAAATGAAAACGATGTTTATTTCCAAGTGTTTTGTTTAAGTTGCAAGTTTGCAGGTATCTATATAGATACCTATATAATAATGCTGTTCTTGCAAGGTAATATAGGTAGGTACAACTGGCCACAGGGTCAAGAAGTAAAAATAAAGTATATTAAGAACACAGGTATTATTCTATAACAAATAAAAATGTAACACCTTCCAATTTGTCATGCTGCCATTTAGAAAAATCAATTAGGTAGTAATAACTTGTTATCAATTTAGACAATTTATAGATAAGGTAGCACAGTACACTGAAAAAAATCAGGAACTTTTTTCAGACGCCAGTTTAAAATTAAATAGGTACACTAACCCACCTGCAATATGATTTTATTTTCTAGGCTAATATTATAATAATATTACGCTTGTATGATATTAAATATTACTTTTCATTGTAAAAAGAAGCACTCATATAGCAACAATAACACTAAAAAAGTACAGTTTATCAGCGGTACTTGGTGCAAGTGTTTAAACGGTTTTATGAATGGAACGATTGGCCTACTTTCGAGATGGCTATAATAGCGTATACCTACCTTAATATGTAGGTATATTGTTACCTATTATCTATCTATATTATAATAACATAATATAATATACAACATGAGGCAGGCATAGCTGATATTATTTTTCTGGTGAAAACATGAGTTATGAATAATATTATTCTCTCAACCGTAGGTACATTTTTTTTTACAAACAATAGCAGTACGAGCGTTGGTAATATTTGGTATACGTTTTAAGATATTCCATATAATATATACCTACCTACTCATGTATAGTGTGGAGTGACACACACATTAATTTTAGCTAAGTGCCGTGAGTTTTGACGAAAAATAATAATAACAAAGTTGATTATGCAATACAATATTATTACATGTCTGTTTCGCTCCACGTACAGATTATAATATCATTGATCCGATTAGTGATTACCTACCTACTTATATATTATAATATTACTTATTAGTATAATATATTACACATATAAATCGTATTTATATAGGTGTATAATATAGTATTGAGTGTATACAACGCATTATATTGTATTCACTTGATCGTATATTAGTTACAGACAAAACTATTGAAATCAAAAACCTTGGGCCTTGGCTCCTCGTCAGTGTATAGTGATTGTATTGTGTTTATAAGTTTGGTCCGACACGGCCAGGCAATTACTATTGTGCGTATACCCGATTGTCACCTTAAGATACGCCTATTTAATAAATTGGGTGCCTACCTATAACATTTTTATTATTGGAAAAAAAAATAGTTAAACGAAACAT